ATAAAAACTTCTATTGTCCCAAATTTGGGACACTAACTTTAGTTAAATTAAAACCTATTCTAATTTTCGGACAAATTATATATTAATGCAAACACTTGTTTATACAATACAAGTGCTATTGTTGACCCATAAAAATATATAGTTAAATAAAATTTAAAATTAATTATAATATAAAATTATTGTTTAAATAATTATTCGTATTAAAATATTAAAAGGTTTTAAAATAATTAAAATATGTAATATATAAAATATAATTTAATTAAATTGTATTTAAGTATACTAAGTATATTTCAGTTTATCGTTAATGTACATAACATTGACATTAAATCCAATAAAATGTTGATCATTGGTTTATTTCTTGAGACGCGTAGTATTGACAGTATAGTTGAATTAACAGATCCAATTGTTGATACCGATGACAACTATTTGCAGTGTCGTCGTTTAGGTCAATGTTATCAATATAGGCAGTAGTTACTGTGCTTCTTAAAGTGATAATGTGTTGTTGCAATAGATATTATGATACCACCAATATTGTATTGTAGTACCAAAATATGTCAATGATAATATTTTGTTGTTGTTATGATTGAGTAAGATGTTTCATATAAACTTTTTTACAATTATAATTCTTATTACATTTTTGTGATTAAATAATTTTTATAATAATAAATTAATATAATATTGTATAAAACAATTGTTCAGTAAAAAACAATTTTTAATATAAATGTTAAGGTAAAATTATTTTCGAATATATTAAAAATTATATAATTATAAATATTATAGAATAGTAATAAATAATAGGTTTGTCTCAATTTAATTTCAAACAAAATTAAATAATAATATTTGAGACAATTTTCTATACTTTAAATAAATATTTATTATAAATCGTTATAAAATAATTTGAGACATTAGTCTTAAATACTGATAGATATGTCTCAATTTACTGTCTGAAATTTCAGACAAAAGTATATATAAATATTTGTGATAAATTTTGTGAATTTAATTAAACTAAATTAGATAAATATAATTATTATTTTATAACCTTACATTTAATTTATTATAATACTTTTCGAACATTAGTCCAATTAGTAGTTACAAATTGATGTACACATTTTTTTAATTCAATAAATTTAATTTATTTATTTATACCATTTTTTTATTAATTTTATTTTAAATGTACCTTAATAATAATTATCAATTCAAAACTAAAAAAGGATCACTAAATTCAGTGTAAATCATTTTGGCCATTAACGAGGACATAAATTTAATAATCATACTTAATTATTTTGAATCAACTAATTATTTAACCCATTATAAACATTAATTTATTTTATATTTAATTGTTCAAAAATCAAGTCTCAATTTTATACAAATTTTCTCATTCCTTAAATTAATTTCTTAATTTAAGTCTATCATATTTAACTTTTTATTTCAAACCTCAAATTATATTTGAGTAATTTAATCTTCAATTATTTCATTCCTTAAATTATTTTCTAATTTAAGTCTAATTTTAAACATTTTATGCGCAACTGTTTATATTTCATAAATTATATGTAAGTAATAGGTACCTTATTAATTTACATACTAAACACTAATTGAGACCGACCATTTTTTTTAGGACATTAACATTTATTTTAAACAAAAATTTAAATATTCACTTCTAGGGTTTTAATTTCATACAATAGGTACTTTAATGTTAATCTGCAATTATTTAAAATATTTATTTCATACTTAATTAATCAATTATCAAATCAAAATTTTAACAAATATCGAACTTTACTTTTTTTAAATCTTACAATTTAAAGTTTATATAATTTTACTTAAATACATAATTAATAGGTCATAAAATGTACTTGTTATTAACATTTTATTTATTTTAGTTTCCTGTATATTCAGACAATAATTATTTCATTCTCATTTTCAGACACTATATTCTGACACACTATTTTCAGACACTATTTTCATACATACTATTTTCAGACACATTATTTTCAAACACACTATTTTCGTTAACTATAAATTAAGCAGTGATTATTGCTGGAAAAGTAGTTAAGCCGTCAATAAAATTATTATATTTGTCAATAAATAAAAAGGGAACATAGACAACGGCTTATGTAGAGACTAACTCTTACTAATTTACCTGATCTGCTGATGCAGATCCAGGTGACTGAAGAATAGCTCTTGTAGCTGATTTTAGCGTAGTGCTTCGTTTGTGATAGCACGAACGGGCAAGATGACCAGGTTTGTGACAAAAATCACAAACAGGTCTACCTTCAACAGTTTGTCTATATTGATATCTGTAACTATCATAATTACGGTATTTATTCATAAACTGTTCAAACATTGAACATAATTTAGAAATATTTTGGGACTCTGTGCTATTAATTTTTGACTCATTTTGTTTTTGCTCAGTTTGAATCTTATTTAGAGACTGTTCATTATGCTCAACGCTATTTATAAATAGGTAATTATGAGATTGTCTTATCTGAGATAAGAATTCGGACTCTTCTATTGACTTAAGTTTACTTAATAAATCAATACAATCTTTCGGCTCAAATATAACTACTTTTTCTAACATTCCAGATATTAGCCCTCTCATAATATGTGTCAGCTTTTCTTGTTCATCCATAAGGGGATTAAATTTCTCACATAATCTAATTATATCATAATAATAGTTACTGACTGACTCATTGAGCTGCTGGTATCTCGTAATTAATTTTAATTGCTGAAATGATTTGTAATTTTTAGGTCTAAAAGCGCTTTTGAGACCCTCATAAATGTCATTTAATGACAATTTATTTTCATATGTGGCATCTGTTTTAAGTTTAACAAAATTTCTATACCACATCTCAGCAATGCCTTCTAAGTGTACAGGGAGTCTCAACTTTTTCATTTCATTGCTCCAGTTATTACATCTCGCAATATAACTGTAATGATCAATCCAATCATCTATATCACCACTCCCATCAAAATTTTGAGGGGTTACTGAGCCGACTGTGATTATAGACTTAAATTCATGTTTGCCTTTACTTTCAAACATCTGGTTATTGTTAGTAAGTGTATTAGAGCTGTTAGTTACACTATCACAAGTAATATTTGAAACAATTTTTGGGTTATTTTGAGTGTTACTTCCATGCAATGAGTTATTTGGGACATTAGGGCAATTATTTAGAGCATTAGTTTGGGAATTTGCTTGCAAAATGGGATAAGCAGTTATATTAGTTGAAGTGTCATTTGAAATATTTTGGCTGTTATTTATTGCTTGTTCTAGTGATATTGCATTAGTATTAGTAAGCGTTAGGTCATCAACAAATGTTAAATTTATTGCATTAGTATTATCTGCGTTATTTTCAGTTTCAGTGTCGTTTAAAACACTTATGTCTGTATTAGTTAAGTTATGCGCTTTTGAAGTATTTCGGGATCTGTTTTTACGCTTAAGCATTTTTTTATTGCTTTTGAGATGATTTTGTTGAGCAATAGATTTGAAAAGTAATATATAGTTATTATTGCTCTTTGTGAGTCAAGAAATGTTTTTATTGCGTTTCACATGCATTATCTAACTCAACGCAACCATATGTAAGATTAACTGTTAGGGACTGAAATTTGTAATCCCTACTCAAGTACTGTTCAGTATTATAGTATAGTATAATTTTTTTAAATAAGATTCATGAAAATAATTTGAATTATTTAATTAAAATAAAGCAAAGTTTTAAAATATTTTTATATAATTCAATTATAGAAAATTAATATAATTTTTTAGTTTCAATTTTTAAGACTCAAATTATGCATTAAAATTTGATACCTTTAGTAATAGCTTTAGTTTTAGCAATAGTAATAATAACTTTAAATAATAGCATTCATAGATTAAATTAAGTATAGTTATCGCAACAAATAATACAAGAAAATATAGCACTAAAATATCAATTTAATAAAATTAAAACGATAAAATATTGATTATAATTTTGGGACATACCTTATATAAACTTATCAGATAAGTACTTTTGAAATCGTTACCTTTGCGACCTCCACCATATACAATATAATACGCGCGCGTGAATCGACTCGGGTGAGCGGCTCTTGAGTCCGTCTGGGCTGACCAACCAATCATGAACGTAGAGCTACTCGCGGGACGACCGCCGATGACCAGTTGGTTTTCGGACACGTTTGTGTCCGAAACTGAGCCCTTCAGGGCTCGGGCGCTACCCTACCGCTAGCACGCGTACGGTTGTAGTTGTTGATTAAGTTGACACAATTTAAAGTGAATTAACTATTTGTTTTAGTTATATAAGTTTTATTCAAGTGGTTATCTAAAACTAGTCCAATAATACATTAGTGAATATATAGAGTCTGAAACTCAACTAAAAACTAATACAAAATACTGAGAGTCTCAGTAGTCTCAGTCGGACGTGTTATGTGAGTGTCATCTCATCTGTGTCTCTGTCTCCCTGAGTTGGGAACAGTAGGCTTTTATATAGGCTGGAATGGTATGCAGTATATACTAGATGTGGGCTGTACTTTACAGCCAATAACATGCAACAATATAACTAAAATATTCATTATACTGTAATACTATTCATACACACTACCAGTGCTCTCTCGGTAGGGAGTGATACACAATACATGATCAGTGAATAATGAAAATTAGATGAATATGACAGTGAATGAGCTTATTTGTGTAACAAACTTACATAAATAATATACATTTTTATATTGTTCATTACAAACAATGAGAATTTATAAATTAGTTTTAAACTTGTTATATATCTTATTATTATTATGTATTATTAAATTTAATTTTTAAAAAATTATTAGTTAAGTTTTAAACTGAAATAATAAATCTATAAATTTTCACAATATAATTATTTATATGATTTTTGTTTATAATTAATAATTTTAAAAACATTAAATAAATATTTTAGTAATTGTACAAAAAAAATATATGAATTTAATATTTTAAATAAATATTTAGATTTATTAATTTTAATGAATTTCCAAACAAACAGTTGCACCGAAGTGTGTGTCTCAACAACGAATCATTGAGACCTCCCTATCCTTTCCGACAAACATATTCTGTGAGGTCGACGCCAATCCGGAAAACGTGACATTCGTATGGCAATCGGCTAACATTGAGGACAGACATCGTGTAATGATATCCAGCAAAGCGTTGCGCAGCAAATTGACTATAATTCCCCAGTTTGTCACCGATTTTGGCACATATACGTGCTGGGCATACAATACACTCGGGTCCAATCAATTGACTCCCTGTGTGTTCAACGTGACCGCTGGTGGTCATACTGTGCCAAAACCGGTAACCGATTGCGACTCGAAAGCTGTTGACGGCTGGGTGTACATCAAGTGCCAACACTCGGGAGCAAATGCCATGGAGACGACGGCACCAATTGATGGCACAGCACAACAATTGTTTGTTAAGGACACATACTATCATCTGGAGGTACAGGACTCGCAGACAAATCGCAAAGTAATTCAATTAAATAATAGCGAACCGGTATTCAATGTGTCGACAAGTGAATGGTTGCCCATCTATTACCAGCTTATTGTTTATGTGTCCAATCCTTTTGGTGTCAGCGAAGAGGTATTCAATTGTTTTTTTTTGTTTTGTTTTTTCTTTCTCAACGATTTTCCACTCAATATACTTAAGACATATATAGTGACAACACTATTGCCATTTCTCTCTCTCTCTCTCTCTCTCTCTCTCTCTCCCATTCACATCATTTTTTTGTTTGTTGTAACTTTCATTATCTTAAAAGACATATTTGATTGCCACACACATATATATATATATATATATATACATACATGAATACATATATGTATGTATATTGTTAAAAGACAGGCATAACATATAGCTTATATAAAAATGATATTTAGTTTTATGAGACCAAATGTTGTTGACATTAATGAGTTTGTTTGCAAAGCTATAGATAGATATTTATAGATAGGTATTGTAAAATGCATATCATTTATAATAAAAATATATATATATATATATGAATTATTAGTCTAGTTTTATATTATTTATTAATATAAAAATCTGGCAAGATTGATTGAAGCTGATAATTTATTCAAAATACTAAACATAAATATATAATATAGATAGATAATATATTAATAAAAAAAATTGAAAAATATTTTTTAAAAAGCAAAATTTTATCTGCTGCTCAAATATTAAATTACATAAAATTATTTATGTGTATATAATATATAATATTATGTATATCATAATATACAGTATATATTAAAGTATGTATATAAATTTTATATACAGTATAAGCAATTTATTCCATGTTTGCAAATTGATGTCTAAATTTCATTATAAGTAATAATAAACAGTAATTTAGTATAGTTTGTTGTTGTATTTATGAACGGGTCATAATCAATATAATGGTAAAACAATATCATTAAGAGGTAGGAAATCGATATTTTATTAGACAAATACACAAATATATGTTAGTATTTTATATTATATATATATATATATGTAGTAAATCTAATAATGTTTGTAAAGGGATAGAGTGAGTAACTCTATCGTCAAATTAAATTATATTTATTTTTTACTATTTTCTTATTATTTTTTCGGTAGTGTTGTTGTTGTTGGTGTTGTATATACCAGTGCTAAGTCTGGTTAAGTCAAGTTGATTGATGTATTTCCTTATTTTTCTTTCTCTTTCTTTTTATTCACTATATCTAATGTATTTTAGGTAACAATGATGGTTCAACCAGAACTGCCTTCCCTGAAGGCGCCGTCATCGGCAAAGGCTGCGCCCATAGCACCCAATCTATCGCAACACCAACAGACCACTGACCAGTCATCGTCACATCGGATACTTGTGATACTTATATCGCTATTAACAGTAGTACTGGTGATCCTATCGGTGCTCATTACCGTAACCATTGTATTGTGTATAATCAGACAGAAAAATAACAAACGCAAACGCCATAATAAAAACTCCAAGTGCCATAATAATAATACCGGTAGTGGTGGTGCCAACACCATTACCAGTGATTGTGATCAATATAGTATTAGCGGTAATACCGGTGCCACTGGTTGTAGTAGTAGTGCTGCCGGTTCTCGGTCGGCAACACTGGACCGAAATAGTATGAAACGAAAAGTCAAACACAAAGGTAAGTCCGGTATGAGTCAGACCAAAGCCAGCAACGATAGTATTGCCACAAGTGATGGAAGTGGTGCTCATCCCGATGTGATACCATGCGATGGAGTAATATATTATGGCGGACCACCTGATCATCATTTGATTGATGACATAAGCGGCAATCATAATTCATTGCCAATATATCGGGACATTATTATAGCGACAGCCAATAGTGTCGGTGCCTATACTGTACTGAATGACACGGGCGGACAGTTACCTGCTAATGAACAGCAATTGTTAGGTATGTCCAGACTTATGGCATCGCAAATAGTGCCTCAACAACAATACCACAGCAAAACCCTATTAGCCAATCACGTCGTCACTAGCAATCATGTTTCAGTTATTAATGATCGGCTTAATGGGCCCATTGATGGTAGTATTGGTGGTGCTGGCAGTGTTGGCACTGTTATGCTGGTGCACAACAGTCAGCAACCGTTGGACACGTTTGTCGCCAAATATCCGGCAAATGATGGCACCAATGATACAGAGGTACGTATGTATATACAGTGGGGTAATCAAAAATCATATTATTATTATATTATATGAATAATGTTATTATTATTATTAATACATCAGTAAATATAAAATTTTATTGGCGTTGATATTCAAACAAAATTATAGTAATTTAGTTTTTTTTTCTGTTGTATGCAATACTATGCATATTAGGAGCCATACCTGAACTCATAGGAGTCATAATTCCCAATACAGTATATGTTTGTAATATTAATCAATACTAATATTAGTATAAATAGTAATGATAGTCACCAGTTAAATAATAAATTAACTTTGTGTATAATATTGTTATAATAATGATAGTGATATACAGTTTAATGATTATTGCAGTTTATTATGATGTGCACAAAATTTTATTGGCAATCAGTGATTGTACAGTAGTTTTTGTGACTATAATATAAATATATAAATAAAGCAATTTATATACTGAAATATTGCTATATTTTTATTTTTTATACAATAATAATGATAGCCTTATAGACAGCTTATAGCAGTTATGTTAGTTGGGAAATATAAACTAATTTATACAGTATAAATTATAATACTGTATATTATAAATTATGATCATAATTGTTTATTTATTATTTGAAAAAATTAACCATGTTGTTATAATATTGGCAATTTTTATCATGAAATAAACATTCACGCAGTTGTTAGAAATAAATTGCTTATAAATATAAAGTTTTTTATTTTTTACACGATATTACTCTAGTGATTATTGCATACAAAATAAAATAAAAGTAAAAAAAGCATTTTTATTTATCATATACTGTATGTGTTATACTAGTATATCATATAAATATTATATATGATTTAATATAATATAATGAAACCTCAATGTTATGTAATAGACATTAATAATGATAATAATATATATTTTTATTTTTTACTTTTTTTCCTATCCCTATATATAGACAACGGATAGCTATTTACAATTAAGTGCAWCCTATCCACAGACAACACCGGTTTAATGAATGGATATCTAAAAAACATAATTATTATATTAATAATAATAATAATAATAATAATAATAACACTAATAACCAAATATAGAAAAATCATAATAATGGTGTATAAAAATAAATTAAATTAATAAATAAATTTTTTATACAACATAAAATAATTTATATATATATTATATGTACAAATAAAACAATAGTGGCTTGTTTTGTTAATATAAATAATAAATTATATAAAATAAAATATATTATAAATTAATTTATAAATTGTATCATAAATAATAATAATTCTATTATTATTATTATTATTACTATTATTATTTAAAAAAAATATATGTATATAATCTTTTTTGTTTTATATATACATTATATGAAATTAAAAAACAACCAAATATTTAATAATAAAAATTTATTTTTATTGAAATATAAATTAAAAATATAAATCTTTTTTCTTATATTAAATAATTAATTTAATATATAAATGTTTTATTATTTTGAAGCAAATGGTTTGAATAAATAGCATTCATTTCTTATACAAAATTATATATATATAAATAATTTTTTATATATTTAATTTTATTTAATTATTAAATTTTACAAATATAACAATTAAAATTTTAATTATTATTAAGCAGAATGAGACTCATTTTTTAATTTCTATTAAGTTTTAAGATTTTAAATCTAAGATTTTTTGAGATAATTAATAATTTCTGAACAAAAATTTATCATAACTACAACAATAATATTAACTGTCTTATCGTATATTGTTTTTGCATTTATGAAAAATACAGTAAGAATTATAGCCCCTATTCTTATATATATATAATGATAAATGTCTGCTTTAAGATATGCCGACACTATTTGAGTTCATTATTTGATTAATAATTTATTCATAAAGTATTGGAAGTTTAATAATACTAATAATACTATTGGAGTTTTACTTTTATTTATTTATTTTTATTTCTATGATATTAATAATAAGATTCTGACACTTGATATTCATACAGAATCTATATACAGTATATATTATATATAATAATAAGACATATAGTTTATACAGAATATTTAAATATGATTTTACACACACACACACACACACACACACACATACACACACTTTATTGTGTAAACTCTTTTATATATTACTGCAAAATACAGTACAATATTATACATATGAAAGGCTTACTAATTATAATAGAAATACCAATATTTCATTTCTACTGTTTTCCTAATAACTCTTATTTCCAGCACTCAAATTAATCCCAGTACTGTCCATTGTATAAGCCTTATACTGTATATACTAACGTATGTGTGTTATGTATTGTTTGGCTGATTGTTTATATCAGTTTTGCAACGAAATTCATTGATTGCAATATAAATCAATGTGTGATAGTTTTGTGTTCATTATTTTGGATATATCTATTATACGATATATACTGCTATATATATATAAATACAATATACTGTATATACCGTATATATATAGTATACCTAATATACAGTGTATTTTATCTAGTTATTTTTTTGTAGAAAAAAATTGATGAAAATGGACACTCATTTGCCACATAATAGCACAATTCAATACACAGAATATTGGTCTGATTTTTTTTGCTTATAATTTTCAACTCTTTTATTATATCTATTATTTTTTTAGTACTTTTATTATGTTTTCTTACTTTACTTCAATTTTTATTTATTTTTGTTTTTATATGGTCAATAATTTTTCATTTGTATTGATATTTTATCAGTCAGATTAGTTTTCATTATCTTTTCAAACCAAATATTATATTTTAATAATATAGATATATAATAAACTRAATATATATATATACTGGTATATATATACATTTAACAAAATAATAAGCCTCCTAAAATTGTGTTCTCTTTAAATGTTTTTTATAAAATTTATTATACATATAATAAAAAATATAAAGCTAATTTAGAGATCATCTCATTTGTTATACAAGTGTTTATATATATATCAGGCACTCATTTGTGAGCTTCCTTTAAGATAACCGATAATTGGATTTTATATATTCACAGAATATTCTTGTGCTATAAGTTTTTTGTGCTTTTGTTATGCTTTTTTTGTTTGATATTTTCCGCCGACTTTTTTTATTTAATATACACAATATATATAGTATATTGTATATGATATGACACATCAATTCATATTAAAGCTCATTGAGATAAGAAGTACATATATATATATATATATATATATATTTATATAGGCTTATTTATATATACGAATATATTAATAATATATTTTTGTTATATTTATAAAAATTTTATAATCAAATTGTTTAGTCAATATTGTGAGTTAGTTAGCGTTAGTGTGTTTAATATAATATATAATATAAGATTTAATGTTAAGTGAATGTCATTGAATATATTAGCTATAATTTTAGTCAGTCTCATAAAAACTAATATTTAATGTTTTATGCTTATCTTACATATATAGTGTACTGTATATACAGTACATTAATATATTAGTTATAAAAAAAAATCTAACTATCAAATTATATATCATATATTATACAAAATATATTCATTTTTAAAAATATATATATATATATATATATTGTGATTTACAGGTTATAATTAATTAATTATATTTATTATATTAATATAAAATATTAATGATATTTATAAAAAAATCAATATAATTTATTAGTAAACTATGAGTTCAAATACATACATATATATATATATATATATATATAGAAAGACATACATGTTTGTACATAACTAGACATTTTGTAGGTATAGTCACACGTCTATTAAACGTGAAAGTAAGGTCTGGTATGGAGTGAWCAACTCACTAAATGTYCAAACAATATGACAACATATTATAGTTTATGTGTTGATATCTGTGTGTTTGTCAGAGTATGTATGTATGTGTGTGTAATACACACTGTGTATATGTGTTTGTATATAACTTTATATGTGCTTCCCTTTTGTGAAATGTATTAAAGTTGTTGGAAAAGAGGGAAAAAATAAAGAAAAAATTAAAATCAAAGTGAAATCAAATGTTTCGAAAAATTAGAGACAAAATATAAGACAACTCTTTGGTCGTCGAGTTTAATGAACTCAGTATTGAAAAGTTAGAGACCACCAGAAAAACTCGGATTAATCTCTCTCTCTCTCTCTCTCTCTCTCTCTCTCTCTCTCTGTTTCATTTTGAACTGAATGATTGCTAAAAACACTCGATGGGAACGGCATATTCGGTATTGTATGTACTTATATATGTTTGGAGTGGTAGTACCAGTGATAGTCATAAATGTTGTGGCAATCAGAGCGCCCATAATATGACTCTGACTTGTCTCGTGTGACGGCAAATAAAAATCAAATATATATAACAGTATATATACTGTATATTCAATTTATTATATATCTATATAAGACTATAACTATTGCTATTTTTATTTTTTGTCATGTTTTTATCGGATTTCTCTCTCTCTCTCAATATTTATTTTTTCAATTTTTCCAATAATGCAATTTTTTTGTTATTTTATGTTTTTGTCGTTATTGCTATATATTTGCCGATAAATTTCATTCACCAAACATTATTTCATAGATATCTTAAATATATCATACATTATATAAATATCGACAAAAATTAATGATAGATATATAAGTTTATTAAGTACACAGAAAAAAATAATATTGTTATTAATAATAATAAAATAATTTTAGTCTCATTTAAGTGTAAATTTAATGAGATTTTTTTCTTTCTTTCTTTATATATATATATATATTTATATATTGTATCTCTTTTTCTTTTACTATACCTTTCTCTGGTGATCATAGTTTTTAATCAAATGTTTTTTTGTGGTTAATATTGAAGACAATCATGACTTGGATGACAACAGMAACAACCAGTAGATCATACGATAGGCAAAGCTGTAGATATATATATATATATATTGTTGTATATATATATATCAAGTTATATAAATATATAGTATTGTTTGATACAAATACTGTATATAACTTTATATATATATATATATATATTAAGCATGTGATTTTTAAGAAAATTTATTTACAAATATATATAATCAAATATACAGTAGTAAAATAATTATGAATACATAAAAAATATAATAAAGTTATCTTTAATGATAATTATAATAAAAATTAGATGCACAATATTTCCTATAAAATGTCTATATATATATATATATCAAGTAAAGAAAATATTCCCAACTTAATTCATTAGTACTCTCAAAATATATTAAACTATTATATATATATATATGAAATACTTTATATTAAAAATAAAATATATTTTCTTTTATAACTATAAAAAATAAATATTTGCATTATTTCTCGTGAAAATATGAGTGAATTTATATATATGACAGCGATATCATGAGACATTTAGGCTCTCATAATATATATATATAGTATATATATATCAATTAAATGTCAGTTATCAATTAAAAAATAAATAAAAAATCAGTAAATATGGTCCACACAAAAGTCATACTCTCATCTTCTATAGTGAGTGTGTGTGTGATATATCATACAATAAAATTGAAAACATAAATAAAAGAAATAAATATATAAGAAAAAATCTATTAAACTTTTACGTGTTTTGACAATAATATAATATAACTTAATACTGTATATATTGTATTGCATTCTTACAATGAGTATACAGTATATAAGCTTTTATATGATATAAAAATAAATATAACAAAATAAATAAAGTAAAAAAATATATAATAATAAACTATGTTTAGTTATGTTGCATAAAATTTTAATAAAACATATTTGTCATTTGAAGTTCAATAACAAGTGAAAGCAAAACAAAAATCGGATAAATATTTTATACTATGTTTATAATCAATACATATAAATAATTTTAGTACAGTATTAAAAAAATAATTATATTTATTTTGTATATATGTATTAAACATTTATAATTTATTATTTGTATTATTATTTTTTATGTTTGGATATTTGTATTAAATTTTTTTGTATCAATTTATACTTATAGTCTA